CCGTTGAAACTCCTTCGTGCTGGGGATTGGGGTTTGCAATTATCCCCCATAAACGAGGAATTCCTAGTAAGCGCGAGTCATAAGCTCGCGTTGATTACGTCCCTGCCCTTTGTACACACCGCCCGTCGCTACTACCGATTGAATGATTTAGTGAGGTCTTCGGACCGACACGCGGTGGCTTCACGGCCGTCGGCGTTGTTGGGAAGTTGACCAAACTTGATCATTTAGAGGAAGTAAAAGTCGTAACAAGGTTTCCGTAGGGGAACCTGCGGAAGGATCATTAACGTATATATGATGTATTATAATGATACATTATATGTATATATAATCCAAATAACAATTAAAAAAAATTGTTCCGATCTGTGGTCGTGTCGTCGTCACTACGCGTTCACCACTGCTTCTATCCGAACGTGTGTGTCACGTTCTCTAAACGCCCTATCGAGTTATATTATATAAAAATATAATAAGATACGACGCGTTGAGATTGTGACGCGCGCGCGAGGTATAAACAGTTTGTGTGTGCGTGCGGTGTGTGTGTGTGATGTGATCACTTTGAGGAACGAGCGCGAACCGGGACAAATAAAACGGAACGAGGACCTGGCAAGAATCCGCGCCACTAGTTCCGGTCCGATAATGGTACGCGCTATATTAAATGAATTAAACCCCGATGCGGTTTTAGAATACGAACGCGAAAGGCGGATCATTAAAAGAAGTCCGTAGTACCGTTCATTTCTAAACGTTAAAACGTTTCTCTAACGTTCACACTGCCCCCTCAATCTTTCGAGATTTCGGGGTGAGAGCGAGCGTAAGAGGACGCGTTAACACAATATTTTTTTATAATATAACAACCAAAAAATATACCCGACGATACGGGACCGGGAGACCGGACCTGTAACTTTGTGGTGTGTAACATTTATTAGTTAACAACATATACAAACTATTACCCTGGACGGTGGATCACTTGGCTCGCGGGTCGATGAAGAACGCAGTTAACTGCGCGTCATAGTGTGAACTGCAGGACACATTTGAACATCGACATTTCGAACGCACATTGCGGTCCGTGGAGAAATATCCAGGACCACTCCTGTCTGAGGGCCGGCTGTTAAAAAACATTAACCACACTGTTCTTACGAACAATTGACGGTTCCGTTGAGAGACGCGATACGTGAGTGTGTTTGCGTTGCGTATTCTTTCGGTCCGTTTAAATATTATATAATAATTGTGTGTGTGTATCGCGACTGATTTTCAATATAAAATTAGTCTATCACATCGCACAAGACGCGTTAAGCGGCGAGCTGGCTTAGTCCCCTCGACGCGCGACTCTTCGACGTTAAAACTCGATAGAGGGCATGCGCGATATTCGTGCGGTGACTTCGTTCGGCACGTGTTGTGTGGTGTGCGATTGATTTGTTTTGAAAATATATGTTAGATACACGACATACACAACAACCAAAAGTAGGCGGACTCGACGTCCGAAGAGCGCCTCGACGACTGCGACGTCGTTTCGTTAACGGTGTCGTACTGTCGTCGTTGCGCTGACGGATATCGTGTCTGCCTCGATTTTTATCGTTGGCCTCAGATCAGGGAGGATCACCCGCCGAATTTAAGCATATTAGTAAGCGGAGGAAAAGAAACTAACAAGGATTTCCTTAGTAGCGGCGAGCGAACAGGAATGAGCCCAGCACTGAATCCCGCGATCGTCTCGAACGCGGGAGATGTGGTGTTCGGGAGGTTCCGCTTTCTCGTCGTCGATACTCCTGTCCAAGTTCGTCTTGAACGGGGCCGTTTTCCCGTAGAGGGTGCCAGGCCCGTAGCGACGGAGGGCGGCGGCGAGAGGGACTCTCCTAAGAGTCGGGTTGCTTGAGAGTGCAGCCCTAAGTGGGTGGTAAACTCCATCTAAGGCTAAATATTACCGCGAGACCGATAGCGAACAAGTACCGTGAGGGAAAGTTGAAAAGAACTTTGAAGAGAGAGTTCAAGAGTACGTGAAACCGTTCAGGGGTAAACCTGCGAAACTCGAATGAACGAACGGAGAGATTCATCGTCATTCCGCGGCGTACGCGCTCGCGCTCTGATGACGTTCGTGTCCCTTAATCGGGTCTTCGGGCGTCACGGGCCGGGTGTGTCGACGTCCGCGGACGTCGTGCACTTCTCTCTCAGTAATACATCGCGACCCGTTCGACGTCGGCCTAAGCGCCGTCCGGGAGCCCAGTCGACCCTTCAAAACGGACGGCTGGACCGTGACGGTGGCCGACCGGCCGTCGGACGGTAGAAGACACGAATCGCGCACGCGCACCTTATACAAAGCGCGTCCGGCCCGACGCAAGACAACGTCGTAATCGAGGTCCTGCCGTTGTGCGGACATCGGTGCGGCGCGTCTGTTGTCGCCGCCGTGCAGTCTCGGACCGTGCGCGTCTCAGTCGGCGATGATTCAGTTTCGGGCACTCGCAGGACCCGTCTTGAAACACGGACCAAGGAGTCTAGCATGTGTGCGAGTCATTGAGTTACGTATAAACTGAAAGGCGCAACGAAAGTGAAGGCGTGCGCTTGTCGCGCGCTCAGGGAGGATGGAGCGTCGGTCTCGATCGACCTCTCGCACTCCCGAGGCGTCTCGTTTCCAATCCGTGAATGTAGGCGCGCTCTGAGCAGAGATGCTGGGACCCGAAAGATGGTGAACTATGCCTGGTCAGGTCGAAGTCAGGGGAAACCCTGATGGAGGACCGTAGCGATTCTGACGTGCAAATCGATCGTCGGAACTGGGTATAGGGGCGAAAGACTAATCGAACCATCTAGTAGCTGGTTCCGTCCGAAGTTTCCCTCAGGATAGCTGGCGTCGATGACGAACAGTCTCATCCGGTAAAGCGAATGATTAGAGGCATTGGGGCCGAAACGACCTCAACCTATTCTCAAACTTTAAATGGGTGAGAACTCCGGCTTACTCGAACGATGAAGCCGGAGATCTGATGACGGTGCCAAGTGGGCCAATTTTGGTAAGCAGAACTGGCGCTGTGGGATGAACCAAACGTAGTGTTAAGGCGCCTAAAAAACGCTCATGGGACACCATGAAAGGCGTTGGTCGCTCATGACAGCAGGACGGTGGCCATGGAAGTCGGAATCCGCTAAGGAGTGTGCAACGACTCACCTGCCGAAGCAACCAGCCCTGAAAATGGATGGCGCTGAAGCGTTTTGCCTATACACTACCGTTACGGGCAAGTGCGACGTGTTAACCACACATGTCGTCATTACGCCGTAACGAGTAGGACGTGCGCGGCGGAGAGCGCAGAAGGGTCTGGGCGTGAGCCCGCCTGGAGCCTCCGTCGGTGCAGATCTTGGTGGTAGTAGCAAATACTCCAGCGAGGCCCTGGAGGACTGACGTGGAGAAGGGTTTCGCGTGAACAGTAGTTGCTCGCGAGTCAGTCGATCCTAAGCTCAAGGAGAGATCTTATGTCGATGTGGCGTGTTTTTTCTTTCTAATTTTAATAATTTTAGATGATAAATAACGCCCTTTGAGCGAAAGGGAATCCGGTTCCTATTCCGGAACCCGGCAGCGGAACCGTTTCAATAATCGTTCCCTCGTTTCAAAGCGAGTGTTCGACGGGGTAACCCAAAGTGGCCTGAAGACGCCGCCGAGGGGTCCGGGAAGAGTTTTCTTTTCTGCCTGAGCGTTCGAGTTCCATGGAATCCTATAGAAGGGAGATATGGTTCGGAACGCGAAGAGCACCGCATTTGCGGCGGTGTCCGGATACTCTCTGCGGACCTTGAAAATTCAGGTGAGGGATGTACGTGGAGATGTCGCGCCGGTTCGTACCCATATCCGCAGCAGGTCTCCAAGGTGAAGAGCCTCTAGTCGATAGAATAATGTAGGTAAGGGAAGTCGGCAAATTGGATCCGTAACTTCGGAATAAGGATTGGCTCTGAGGACCGGGGCGTGTCGGGTTTGGACGGGAAGCGGATGCGGCCGGTGCCGGGCCTGGTCGATGCTCGTGCGTCTCTCGGGGCGTGCGGGCTGAATCCGGACCCGCGTTCCGGCCTTCCGCGGATCTTCCTAGCCGTAAGGTCGCGTCGGTTTCGTTTCGTGCGCGATCGGCGCGCGCCTGTACGACCGCCGTTCAACGGTCAGCTCAGAACTGGCACGGACAAGGGGAATCCGACTGTCTAATTAAAACAAAGCATTGCGATGGCCCTCGCGGGTGTTGACGCAATGTGATTTCTGCCCAGTGCTCTGAATGTCAACGTGAAGAAATTCAAGCAAGCGCGGGTAAACGGCGGGAGTAACTATGACTCTCTTAAGTCTCGTCTGGATGCGTGACGTTAGAGCATAATATCAAAGTTGCCTTGACCAACATCTCAAAGGCACCCCTCAAGCCGCAGCAGCGGCTCGAAATTGTGAGGGGACACCTTATTCCGAGATTTTTGCATGGCCTTGTGCTAGGTAATATCTCGGATGATAGGTTGTGTATGCTCGACGTCCAGATCCGGGGTGCGGTTAGGACTTGGCTGAGGCTCCCGAAGGACGTGCCTGTCGGGTACTTCCATGCCGACATCAAGGACGGCGGCCTAGCGATCCCATCGCTTCGGGCGACCGTCCCGGACCTCATACTTAAGAGGTTCGGGCGGCTCGACTCGTCGAGTTGGTCAGTGGCAAAGGCCGCCGCCAGATCCGAAAGGATCCGTAAGAAGTTGAGCTGGGCCGACAAGCAATTCCGAAAGTTCACCAGAGAGGATCCGGTCACGGGCCTTAGGTCCGTCTCACGGTTTTGGCGCGAGAGACTGTGGAGCTCAGTGGACGGGTTCGAGTTACGCGAATCCGCCCGCACTCCCGCGTCCACGAAGTGGATTCGGGAGGAGTCTTCACATGTCTCTGGTCGGGACTTCGTGCAGTTCGTCCACACGCACATCAATGCCCTCCCGTCACGGGTTCGGACATCCAGAGGGCGCAGGATTGGTCGTGAGGCGGAGTTGAACTGCCGCGCCGGGTGCGTGGTTAGGGAAACGACGGCTCACACCATCCAGCAGTGTTGGCGGACGCACGGGGGCCGGATATTGCGCCACGATCGTGTTGTGAAGCTAGTAGCAGACGCGATGGCTTCAGACCAATGGTCGGTGGTGACGGAGCCACATGTCAAGACCTCGAAAGGCCTTCGGAAGCCCGACATAGTAGCCGCTAAAGGGGGCGTCGGAGTGATCGTGGACGTGCAGGTGGTCTCGGGCCAGCGGCCTCTCGATGATGCTCACCGTGAGAAACGTAGTAAATACGGGACTCACGAGGAGCTAGTCGAGAAGGTTGCAGGTATACTAGGACTACCTAGCAAGGATTGTGTCCGCGCGACCTCTTGTACGATCTCCTGGCGAGGTGTTTGGAGTCACTCCTCCTATAAGGAGTTGAAGAGACTCCTTGGGCTGAAAGAGAGTCTGTTCCGAGCTATACCGGTGGTGGTATTGCGCGGTTCGCACATGAATTGGACAAGGTTCAGTCAGATGACCGGGATTGGGGCGGGAGACCCAGTGTGAGCGCCCGGAGTCCTGTGGGACTTCTGGGCTGCTGCCGAGCCCTGGGGTGGTCGCGGCCATGTGCCTAGTTGCAAAATACCAATTTCCCCTAACATCCAGCGGCCATCAGTGCAACAGCAATCGGCACAATGCTGATCTGCCAAGCCCCTGTGGACGGGAGATTGGGGACTAAGTGGCGTCTCTCGTGGCATCCATAATGATTAGTGATTACGTTCACTAAGACGATGGTATGATGATCGGCGGAAATAGCCAAATGCCTCGTCATCTAATTAGTGACGCGCATGAATGGATTAACGAGATTCCCACTGTCCCTATCTAGCTTCCTGTCATAGCCGGAGAACTGGGGTTGGATCTAGTACTAGTTCAGGAGCAACATCAGCATCCTCAAGTACTTGGGTGCGGCACCAACCCTAAGGCCGGTCTATTACCAGTAAGTTCACGATTTGTAGTCACGCTCCTACATGACTTATGCAACGAACACTGTGTTGTAGGTCATGTCAGCTGCCAGAGCTTTAGCATATACGTCGTATCGTTATACTGCCAGTACAGTCATGACATCTCTTGTCACCTGCAACATCTCACCCACGTGATGGATCAGCTTTCTGGTCACCCAATCCTTATTGGTGTAGACAGTAACGCTCACTCTCCAATGTGGCACTGCGAGCGCAGGCAATATGTAGGTCGGGGCTCCGATACTGAATACCGCAAACTCCAGATGGAGGGATTCATCCTCGGACGGAATTTGCTGGTACATAATGTGGAGGGTCAACCGCCAACATTTCATAGCCCAAATGGCTCGTCCAATGTGGATATCACCATCTCCACACGTAGTGTGAGGGTTGCTGACTGGAAGGTGCATGAGGGTGTTAGTGTAAGTGACCACCAGTTGATAACGTTTGGCGTTATCCTTGGTGACTCACACGGGTACAATGGCACAGAATTTTCAGATAACGTATGTTACTTTCGTGAACGTGGTGTGAACTGGGGAGGATTTTGTTCGACTCTGCACGCCCGCATGTCCCAGCTGAGGCTAACGCGGCCAGCTAGTGATATCTGCGAGCAGTACTCTGCAATACTTCTACGTACTGCGAGAGAACGATTAGGTACACGTGCGAAAAAGGAGAAAGAAGGGTACGAGTGGTGGTCTCCGGCTCTTGACCGAATGCGTAACGAGGTCTACTGTGCACGTCGTAAGTGGCAGGCCTCACGTCGCATAGGAGGCGACAGGGAGAAGGCTCTTCATGATTATCTCCGACGAACCAGGATACGCTACAAGCTAGCTATGAAGGAAGCTGAACTTGCCTTCTTCCGCTCTGTCGCAGAATCAGGTAACGCCGATCCGTGGGGCCTGGCTTACCGAACAGCCAGTGGACGATTTCGTCCACCTCTCAACGTGCTAAATGGAGTGAGATTAGCTGACGGCTATACTAGGACGACCGGAGACACCATGCTTGGCCTCGTCAATGCCTTATGCCCAGACGATAATCTAGCCAGGGACACTGTATACCATCGACAAGTGCGGATCGCTGCTGCATGTGCTCCATCTGGAACTGATGCTACTCCACCGACCAAAGAACAAGTTGGACTCATCATTCGAGAACTGCCGAACACTGCACCCGGCATTGACGGAATCACGGCTAAGATTGTTAGACAGGCATGGCGGGTAACTGGTGACGAGATCTGGCACATGTTTAGGGCGTGCATAGTCGAGGGCGTTTTTCCGGATCTGTGGAAGATGGGCAAACTCGTTGTTCTGCCAAAGGGTGGCGACAGGCCGCTCACAGACCCTAAAGCCTACCGCCCGATAACTTTGCTGCCCATATTGGGAAAAATTCTGGAGCGTGTGATCATCTCCTGCGCTCCATGTCTTTACCGCGGAATCTCCGATGCACAACATGGCTTCACGCGTGGCCGATCCACAGTGACCGCCCTTAATACTATCAACCGAATTACCAACGGATCAACCGAAAATTACGTGCAACTGATCCT